TTTTAGACTTTAATACATATTATTCACATGTAGTATTTTGTATATTTTAAACATGTTATGTATATATGTATGGGTGTTGAATTTTTGTAAGACATGTTTTACTTATAAAATAATTTAGAAAGGTGACCTCACATTCTTTAGGAATAATATAGAATATTTTAGATAATCTTACACATGTTGTATAACAATTTAGTGTTTTTTATATTTTAAACATACATGTTTAAGGTTCTTTTAAACAGTATAAAAAACTATAAAAATTTTAGTGAATATTATTTAGCTAATCAAGTATAATCGATATTAAAATGATAAACTAACAACTCATTTGTCCAACTGCCGTTTAAATTATTATATTATAAATAGATCCATTTTAGACTTCTTTTTAAGTTCCAGCGGCACCAGTTCCTTCTGATTTTGGGGTTCTATTTAACAGTCAAGGTCAGTCTTTTTGTATAAAAAAATATAGAACTATTAGTGAATATTATTTAACTAATAAAGTATAATCGATGTTAAAATAATATGCTTAGATATAAATTATATTGGATTTTTTTGTATTTTTTGGTTTGGTATGGTTAATTTTGAAAAGGTGGTGTGATTAGTTGATAGTTGGTATATTGAAATAATATTTAAAATGAAATAATTAAAGGTGATTTGGTTTGAAAGTAGGAGAGAGATGATTTGAGGTGATAGTTAGTTAAAATTATGCGAGTGGATGAATAGTGAATTAAAGTTGATGTGGTGTGTAAGAATGACTGATTGATATTATTTAGTTATATTGATAATATTGAAGGTAGTGAGGTTGAGTTAAATATGTTTAGATTCGTTTGGATAGATTTGGATCCAAGCATCCTCTAAAACAACAGCTCATTTGTCTGTCTGCCTAAGTAAATTATCATATTATAAAAAGATTCATCTTAGGATTCCATTTAAATTCCAGAGCACCAGTTACTTCTAATCTTATGGTTCCATTTAAGATCAGGGTCAGTCTTTATGTGCGTCTACATAATATTAAAGAAATCTGTTCTTAGCCACGATATGTTGTTGTGTAAGTATTAGATAAGAGTTATGCATTAATGGCATGTTCTTAAAAATATATGTTTTTTTTTTTTATCACGACCAATTGTATGTTGTTGTAACGCGTGTAATTAATAGATGGAGAAGTTAAAGCCAACCTTTATTGTGCGTTGTCATGTTCTTACAGAAAATAATTTTTAGTCACAGACATTTATGTTGTTTGTTTCGTGTGTAAGTAACAGAAAAAGGTGGAAAATATTAGTTTGTGGGGACACGAGTTGGTCAGTTATTAAACAAATAATGTTGTGTACAATAGAGTTTTAAATAGTAAATTTTTTGCATGAGGAACAATTTATGGTTTGACAATTTCCCTACGAATCATCATTTTTTTATTAATACTTTAAATTTTTAATATTCCCCAAAATAAATACAGCCCGTGCATCGCACGGATTCCATACTAGTTGTACATAAGAGTGCACATAACACTCAAATCGAGTGGGACCCACCAAAAATAAAAGATCAAATAACCCCACTCTATGTGAGTATTATGTACATACATTTATTAGGGAAAAATTTTTTTTCACCCCATAACAAAGACACATTAAGTTTTTCACACCGCCCAATAAAAAGCTAAGTTTTTCACCCCAGAAAGTGCGAAGGTTATGCGAAAACTGTCGCATATTCATCGCATAACTGTCCATATGCGAAGGTTATGCGAAAAACTGTCGCATATCAATTGCATAACTGTCGCATATTCATCGCACAATGCCTTCGCACAATTATGCAATTGATATGCGACAGTTATGCGACAATTTTTCACATAACTGTCGCATAACTGTCGCATATCAATTGCATAACTATCGCATATTTATCGCACAATGCCTTTGCACAATTATGCAATTGATATGCGACAGTTATGCGACAGTTTTTCGCATATCCTTCGCAAATGGACAATTATGCGATGAATATGCGACAGTTTTCGCATAACATTCGCACTTTCTAGGGTGAAAAACTTAACTTTTTATTGGGCGGTGTAAAAAACTTATCAAGACTTCAAAACGGAGTGAAAATAGATATTTTCACATTATATACTTGTGGCATTTTTTTTATATATATATATATATAGCTATGGGCGTATAATCAATCATTCATGCCTGCTGTACCATTATACTATACATGCATAAGATAATATTAATGCAAATTATTATTAATTAGAAATTTAAAAGTGATAACGGAGTGCTTGTGGACCTCTCCTCTGCCTCTGGTCGTTCCCCCAACCCATGTTGTTAGTTAATCAAACTGATTTGATTAATTTGTAGTAAATGTGGGGAAAGTATATATGTAAGTGCCAATTCAGTTGGTCTAAATATAAAAATATATACGACGACAAAGATTAACTTGAACAAAATCAGAATTTGAATATAAATTGGCTTATAATTTGTCATTTTTGCAGTGACAATGAGGAGGATATTACTGAAATTACTACTCTGTAGCTTCAAACTCTATGATAGACCAATTACTTTATACTCCATCTTATTCATAATAATTGTCGTTTTGAGAAGTTGCACAGTAATTAAGAATATTTATTTTTTTTGTTCATAATAACCCTCTTTAACGAAGATATAGATTGAATGTTTTGAAAAAAGATAAAAAATAAACATGAAAAGACGTAATATATTTTTTAGCTAAATGAAGATAATAGTGGAAAAATATGTTCAATTCATTGTTTTAAATAGCGCAATTTCGCGCGCTACGTAGCGCGCTATAGCGTATTTTTACCCGAAAACGCGACATAGCGTATATAATTTTGCGCAGTTCCAGAAAAGCGCACGCAATTTGCGCTATATTTTGCGTTATTTACGCAATTTACGCTATATTTTGCGCTATTTAAGCTATTTGCGCTATTTCTCACGCTATTTGGGAAATCCTTATTTATTGGCAAAAAATAAATAATAAAATAATAAAATACAAAAAAAAAAAAAAAAA